CTTCTATGCTCAATAAGGACCCATCTTTTTATTGCTACCATACACAGTAAGGTAGGGTAAGGACGGGTAGGGTAAGTATGGTAAGGACGGTAGAACATGTCTTTTTAGAACTTGAGGTCACCAAGTCTACATAGAAACTATCAATGTTACTTACAATCCAGCCGGTTGTTTTTCAAGTTTAAAACTCAAACTTTTCTGTCCTACCACTGAAAAAGTAATAATTGTTAAACTAAATGCAACCATTTTCTACGGTCAGATGAGATTAAGATGTAGTTTTTTTTTGGAAGAAAACCCTCCACAAAATACTGGTTGAAAATGTTAAAAATGACCTAATGCTTATTGTTTAGCATGGTAAAGGAGCTGTGTTGCTTTGGTGTTATTAGGGGTGTCATCAATGATGATTTTACTAAAAACATGTTTTTTTCACCTTCATATTTTTTTCTTGATTGAGAAATATATCAAAATAGGGGTTTGATTGTACTTATTCTTTTAATATGAAATTATGTTGCTGGCATAAATTATACATTTATTTCAGGGCATTTCACATGTTTCGCAAGGGTGCCAATAAATGTGACCTCCACTTTAATAAGCAATTTATTCATATCTTTTTCTTTTTTTTCCCCAAGTCATCTCAATGGACAAATTCAATTTGAAGCACAATAATTGGTAATGTGTTTTTACACATATACATTGTGAAAACCGTTCTATGAATGCAAATGAGTTGCAATAAACTGAGTGAAAAGCTTCTTGTTCACAGCGTTGCCCAACAAAAGGGACCATGTCACTTTGTCGAAAGCAGCAATTTATAGTTATAGGAGACATGTATCAGTGAAAAACAGATTAAGTGTTGCTTTGGCAGATTTATAATCAAATGTGGAAAATTAATCAGTGTTTGCTGTCTCATTTGAAAAGAATAAAAGAATGGATATGCTTTCACTTTTCCCTTTGTCAGACAAACTCGATTTTTAGCAAATTAGTCAGAAGCTCAAAGAAAAACAAATTAACTTTGCAATAAAGGCTGGTGATGTCATTTTAAGAGTAATATCAATATAAACAGAATGATTACGGTAAACAATGGTGGGTGGCTTTCTTCACTTGTGTAAATGTTTTAGAAATAGCATTTCAGATAAACAGAAATCTTATCCATCTAGTTTCCAATTTATTAGAAATGCTAGAACATTCAAAGAGACAATAAACATAAATCCTTGTAGAGCTAAATTCTGGTAAGTTTGTATGTTAGAAAATCTTTATTCTTGTAGTGCTGTTCAAAGAAAAAGTTATAATGAATATGGTTAGTAGTTAGAAATAAATTAAAAAATCTTGCATTGATGTGGCTTAAACTTTACATAATTAACTCTTAAAATTGGTGATGCATCAGTTGCAAACACAAAACAAGAATATAACCTATATCAACCAGGCTAAAACTGCATATAATTTTATTGGATTTTTGCTACATAAAATCTTGTGGGTGAAGAGACTATCTCTGATCAACACATCCACAAGTACTTACCTTAGGCATTGTCACAAATGTGACTGATATCTCTCAGCCCTTATATCAGTCTTATTTTTACATATGTCACCTCATATCCATATCTTCTGCTTTCATATCCATATTGTAGATTTGATCTGCCAGTGATGGAAGAGGAAATGAAACAAGCAGGATAATGACACAGAAATAATGTTTCACACTTTCCCTGGAGCAACATGCTGTTTATTTCAGTCATGTATTTTATGAAACATTAATTTACGTAGACAAATGGAAAAGTCACAGTAGAATTATTATGAAAGACTAAGCAGGTTCTCAATATTTACCTGAAAATAATACATTTGCTATAGTCTTATCTTTGACTTTAATATGCAGAGGACAGAGCTCTCACATGGTAGTAAATCAGGTCCTATTTATTCAATAATTTACCTATAAATCAAGTTGCCTGATAATGGATATGGAAACAAATCATTCATCCAGATTTACTGACTTAATTCTCTGTTATACAATTCTATAGCTGAAACAGGTGTTGTTGCATACCAAACCATTTTGTTCAACAAAAGCTATGAAACGGGTGCATGGATCTGTCTAATCCACACTGTTCTCCTTCCACCTGCTGTGATAATTAATGAGGTGCTTTGGTACACAGTGAAGAGTCAGACTTGCTAGCAGATGCAATGGGGTCATTGTGGATAAGGCTAATGTTTACGCTGCCTATTGCGGCATTTGAATCTCAAGCCATGGTTCAGAGCATAAGGTAAATGCAGATAACAGGACATGGATACTTGAGAGTCTTTAGCAGAGTTAGGCTCCAAATTAGCCTTATACTTTTTGTCAATTAACAAGTTGTATTTTGTTGGACTTTTGCTACCTAAAATGCAATATTTAAGATATGGATTTATTTATTTATTGAGAGTTGCTTTTATGTGTCTGTGCCAGAAATCCATGAACATTCAACATAGATGATTTCAGGGACCAATTTAGTGCTGACATGCTATATTATTCTAAACCCAGATTTGGAATCGTTGTATTTTTACTAACTCAAATTATGTCTGAGTTTCATTCACTTTTGAGGGTGAAGTTAAAAAATCTGGAGTTAGTTCTTCTTCTAACAACTTCATGCAATGCAGCAGTACCTGTGGTTGCAAAACAACTGCACAGCATGAAGCTACCACCACTGGACTTGGTTGTCAGATAGTGATGGACAAAACAATAATGCAGAAGGAAATTGTATCTGTGTATGGTCAGCAGTAGCGTTGACACTAGTGAACCAGCACCAGATTGCAATATTCTGACATTGCAACTTGCTATGTCCAAATGTTAGTTGCAGTTTTTGCATGTACTTAAGCTTGGATGTATAATTGTAGCTGTTTTTAAAACCATTTCCACCCTGTTTTTATATTATTTCAAACACTTATGCAACCAAAAATATTCAAAAGTTACCAAAATATTCATATTTGCTTTGTCATTATCATTTATCACCATTTCAAACATCTAATTGTGCTGTGGAATCAGTGAGATCAAGGCTAGGTTTTTAACTGTGTATGTGTTTGAAGATGGCTGACCTCATTTGTAAAGTAAGCTGTAAACTCTACAACCCTGCAAGCACATGCAACTTACAGAGTTGTGTCAGTTACCGAAAATATTCACTGAACATCATCATCAGGGCTGACAGATAAGGACATTATTGACCATTTATTTGAAATAGCTAAAATGGAAGTTGAATCAAATGAGGCTGTGCTAGTCATATCCATTTAAAAGTAAATATTTCCATTCAGGAATGAAGTCTGAGATGGCTGTTTTAAAACTAGTACAACAAAACCCCCGTGTCAATACAGATTATACCGTCACTTCAAAGGTTAATGTCTTTTCATAGAGAAGGACACACAATTTGATGCTTAAATGCTGTCCAAGTAGTGTATCTTTTGCAAATGTTGGCTTGAGGCACCACAGCTTGAAAGAGTGCATTAGTTCTATGTTTGAACAATCTGCATACCAAAAACCTGCACACAAGGCTGTGAAATGCACATCTTATAATAATATGTCTTTGATCCTCAGAAATTAGAATTTAGATGACCACATGTGCCCCAAAAGAGCTGTGGATTGAACGGTCCTTTTGTTCAACAACACGGAAAAAGGCACATTGTTTCAAAAATAGCGTTACCACAGGCAAAGACTATACAACCTTGTTTCAATGCCAATATCTTCTGGGCATGTACTGGAATGAGATATGAATTCCCTGTCAAGAGATTAGGCAGTCAGAGATTTTTATTAAACTCATAGACTGGGGCTGTAAATTCCCTGATATTAAGGACATCGCTTTGTGTCGAAGAATGAGTTTTTTAAAAATACATTTCTTACAAACCAGTAGAAATATAATGCTATTCCTTTCCACTAAAAAAAAAAATAAATAAAAACAGATAGAGTAAGGAAAGAGTGCTTTTAATCTCTTTTATTCATTTATTTATTTTTATCCAGTACAATCACTTGTTTTGTTTTTCTTTTTGCCCTTTGAGGTCTAAAGGTATAAAAGGCATTATAAATTAAATGTATCATTATTATTGTTGTTTTTGTTATCAATTTTCAGTCAAGCAGTAAATCATTCTAAAATCACATACTTTTCATCCTTTAAAACTGTCATGAATTTAGATATTTAGTCTTTTTGTGCCATATGAGCAAAAGACGAGACTTTTTTTTTTTTTTTCCAAAAAAAAATTTCCCAAAGCTACTTAATGATGTGTGGTGTTTCTTTTTATGTAATTTTTTATTTCTATGGAAACACTTAGACCCTGGAAATCTTCAATTAATTTGTGATTAAAAACATCTTAGAGTAATTTTTTTTGTTTCTTGAAGGTCTTCTGATTAAGAAAGATTACAGTACTCTTAATTTTAAACTTGTTGATTGAGTTTTCAGAATGTCTTTCTGTACCTCTAGATTGTTAGTTCTCCATCTGACGAATACAGTCAAATTCTGGTTACTCAGTAGAACCGTAAAGGCGAAATATCCACCACAGTTATCAGCTACGGAAATGATTCTCTATATCTGGGCCTTGACATGGTCCCCTCTTGCAGACGAACAAGACAATTATCTGAACTTCATGGCTTTGTTTACACAGACATACGCTGCTAACCGTGAGAGCTTTTCATAAGCAGGTGTGTGCTCTCTTAATTATGTCCAGTGGATTCAATTAGGCAAAAATAGACGACTGACAAGTTATGCAAACATGTTACAGATGTCAAAATAAAATAGGATGCATCGGCGCTCCACTGTTGGGTCTGACAATAACCAGGATGCTTTGGGCATCTCAGGACATAAAAGGAAAAGCTAAACATATTTTTGGCTTTGGAGAAAAGTTTGTAGAAGTTACAAGCAACTTTTTTAAATATGTTTTGGGAAGTGGGTGAACAATGTAGTATTATCAATTGCATTTTTTCATTTATGCACTATCTTATTTAAAATATGTCTTTTTTCTTGTCATCCCCTCAATATCCCATTTTTCAATACTCTCATCAGGTGTACTTTAAGCGTGATGGCGAGCTGATAGAGGTAATTTCCTACACTGAGCCCTCCACCAGCGAGCGAGCAGCCGGCTCAGCAGGATGGAGAGGAGCCAGGCCACTCATCAGCAGGGACCTTGATGAGACCAAACTGCAGCGTTCCCTCTCTCTTCTCGATCCGGAAGGCCGGTCGGCCCGTCTGTACACAGAGAGCCCTCAGCGTGTGCACACTCAGGGCCAGCAGGCCTATGAACCCAGCCCTGCAACAGAGGTCATTCCAGAGACAGTGGTGAGCCGAGAGTTCCCCCGCTGGGTACACAGCACGGACCCTCTGTACTACTTTAGTCACACTCAGATCCCTCAGAGCGACGGCTCTGTTGTGGTACAGGCTCGACTTACCTGGACCCTCAACCCTCAGCTGGATAACGATGCCCTCTTCAGCTGTGAAGTTAAGCACCCAGCATTATCCATGCCCATGCAGACAGAGGTCACTCTGGGTGAGTTAAATGTTGATCTCTTTTGCATGCTGGTTTTAATTTTCTATCATGCTTTTCTTGCCGGTCCTCTACTCTTTTTCAAACACTGAAACCCCTTTCTCATTTCTCTGTTCTTAATGTCGTGCTGTCTTCGTGTCACAGTCGGAAGCCGACTGGACCTCCTTGTGTCTCCTTGCAAATGCGCACAGAACAACACTGATTTTCATTTGATGCTGCTTAATTGTGTTCCAGCTGAGCAGATTCCGAGTTTAGCAGCAAATGCACAACTCCAAGCGAGTGACAGGGCAATTCATCGAGCTGTCTGTTGCTAGATTGAGTTAACCTAGCACCGTTATTGAAAAAGTCAGCCTGAATTAGAGAAGTTGAATGAGAATTTAGACACTCTGACCAATGTTATATAATTGGAAAGAGAGTTTCAGCGATGCTGCACTTCATCAAACTCCAGTGAACACCTCCTGTAAGCTCCTCATTCTGTCGACGTGCCACTAAATTTCATAGTTTTAGTTAAGGGAGAAAAAAAGTAGGAACTAAGATTGCAATCTACTCCAACCAAATAAATTGTGACTCATACTTTAACAAGACAGGAATTATACTTTAGGAGAAGTTCAAGTAAACTTTACGGGTTTCTCTCTTTCTCACTCTCTCTCTCTGTCAGTCTGTCTGTCTGTGTGCTTGGGGGGATGTGTGTTAGGTATACAGTCTTCGTAGTGATCCATGAGAGATGCATACACCCATCTTATTTTATCTAAACACGAAGATCGCTTCCAGCTTACCCAATTAAGACTTCAAAGGCTATACTTTGGCATAGTCCTTCTGGAAATGAGCCATACAGTCCTCACACTATACACAGAGACAATATCTTTCACACGATGCAAGGAATGGTTGAAGTAAGGAAAAGTCTGAATGAGGAGACCCTGGTTGCTCCATGTCTACAGCTGTGTTGTTTCTCACTGTATTTTATCTCCTTCCACCAGCTTCCATCTAATTAAAAGTTGCTTCTTTTTATGCTACTGAGAAACCATGCATAAATCTATGGAAACTCATTATTTTCTGTGAAGTTCTTAACCTAATTAGATAATGGTGGTTAAAAATCTCACGACATATTTTTTTGTGGCCACCACTATCATGGGAATAAAATATACATTTTGTATTCTTCATGTAGTCTTTCTACCAGATATCCAGAAAGTATTCGCCCTTGCTACTCACAGACAGTGTGGGGCCTTTTCCGTCAAATCAGTACCAGTACCTAACAGCTACTAAGGCTTACAGAGCAACAGTTCTTTACGTTTCCACCAGCACCGAAAACCAGATTTATCCCAGCACCAGTTTGCTACTGGGCCAACTTTGTCAGGAACTAGGGGGAACAACAGCCAATCAAAAACGATACATTGTTCGATTGGTATCAGAGTAACACATAACTGAATATTAATTTTCTTCATATGCTTGATTTTGAAATCACATTTCAAGGAGTTTAGACAGGTCAATGTGCTGTTTACAGCTGTGCTCACAGCTCATTGACTTCTGTCTGGTTTCTGTAAGTGTTTGGTCTTTCACTACCAACAAATGGTGTTAATAAATCCTACTCTAAAATCTGTGCAATTCCTGCTGCTGGTTCATTTCTCCAGTTCAGCAAATCAGGATTGTAAAGGTTTTCACTAAAAGAGCAGTAATAAACCAAGGCTATTTGCAGGGCTATTGGGATAAAAAGCTTATCTGTGTGGCTACATTGTCTCCACTACAATACTTCACAAATAAACAAAAAACTCAGGAAGGATTAAACAATAAATAAATGAGATCTTTATAATGACAGAACTGGGCATTGATGTGGCTCTTTTGTGCTGAAAAGAAAACCAGTTATTTTACTTCTTAACTGGCTCCAGCCCCAGCCATAGTTAAAAACTGGAACATCCTTGCTGGAATAGCCTTATGTGGGTTCTTTCATTCTCTTTGCATCTTTGTGTGTCTCTGTCTTATGCTTCAATTTTCTCACAAATTAAATTTCCCTCAATTTCCAGAGACATAAGAATATGATTACTTGGATAAACCTGATCTGGCTGTAATCATCCCTGGTTGTGTTTTGAATATTCACTTGTTCCCTGTGGTTTTGTGATTTAGTATTCTTTTCAACACAATTTATTGAATACTTAGATTGAAGCTTTATTTAATTATTTTTCCAGCATATATATTAACAATATGGATCAAATGTGTCCAGTTGTCCATGTTTTGTATGTGATGTAGCTAAACATAGCTAGTCATTATGAAAGAAGTCTGATACCGAAGGCAGAGTCACGTATTTATGTTTTTGGCTATAAGCTGTTTGTGTCTGTTGCTTGTTTCTACAAGCTGTACTCATATAGGCTGCACTAACCCCAAACAGTGAATCAGACAGTCACATGGATCCAATTCAGTGCATATGGTAACATTTCCAGTAAGCGTCAGTTTGTGTGGTTTGTGTGGACAACATTGTCCTGTCAGTGTCAGAGGTCGCAGGAAAAGGTGAAGACTGCTTTGAGACAATACAAAGGCAACACTAGCTCAAATAACAACTCATCAAAACTGATTATGCAGAATACCAACTCTGAATGCCCAATAAGTCAGGATGAAAATGGGCTACCAAAACACAAGGTCACACCAGATGCCACACCTGTCAGCAAAAAAGTTAAGCTTCAGTTCGTACAGGCTTACCAACTGTGGACAATATCATATTGAAAAATTTTGTCTGGTCCAATGAGTCTCAACTGCAGTATTCATCCTTTTTTGAATCAGCTTTGAGACACTTTCTAATTAAGCATTGTGTAATTGAGCACAACCAGCCTGAGTATTGTAACTGACCATGTCCATCATTTTATGACAACAGTGTACCATCTTGTAGTGACTTCAGTGGGATATTGAACCATGTCTTAAAGTCATTGGCTTCATGAACACAGCATTGAGTTCACTGTACTTAAGTGGCCTCATCAGTTTGCAGATTTTCATCCATTAGAGCATATTTGTGATACGATAGAATGGGAGATTCAAACTGAGGATGAACAGCCGACAAATCTGTCACAAGTGTATTAAACTGTCAGGTCAGCATGAATCAAAATCTCTGAGAAAACTTTCCATGCCATGATGAATTACAACAGTTATAAACTGAAAGGAGCTCAAATTCACTACCTGCCTGTATGTATAATCTCTTTCAATAATATTTATGTTATCAAATGGGATGAGAAATCAAAAAAATATGACTGCAGTCTTAACTGATGATGACTTTGGAAGCATTTTGAGAGTGTTGATGCCTTTTTATATGATTAGTTTTATGAGTATATAGTTCTTGTTAAAATACCATTATCTTTTGTTATCTGAGAAATCTTGCGTTGTATGTCTCAATTTTTACACAGAAAAATAGAGGAAATAGAAGATAATTCTTTCACATCTTACAGAAACTCCTAAATGCAGACTAAGCTTAGACTGCAAACAGATTTTGTAAAACTAGAGCTACTCAACACATTTTAACATTTCTTATTTTCCTTAAGCAAATCCAAAACTGTTTTGTGACACTTGCTGTTACTGCTGGAAAGTTACCTTACTATGCAGACCATGATGCTAAAAATAATTCTTCAGGCAGAAAGCTCCAAAGCAACAACTTTATCAGTGCAGAGATATGGATTTTCATTTGATGACAAAGTGTAACAAAATCTGCTTAAAATCCACCCTACTATGGAAATGTTATACAAACACACAATGCACAGCCATGTTTTCTCACATAAATGTAGGTCGGTTATACTCACCTGAAGCCTCTTCTTTGAGCTGACATTTGAGTGTAAACTAATTCTATCCCAAGACAAACACTACCCTGCACATGTGCAGCTCACTGATGCTGCTCCTGCTTTTTAGTGACACTGACTAATTGGAAGCTAAGAAAGATGTCCTTGTATCAGGGCAGAGACATTACTTTTGGGGAGCATTACAGGGTTGGACAATGTTTTGTCCTAAAAGTCAGTTGGACAGTCACAAAGTCCAAAAAAATACCTAAATCTAGTGAAAGCTGAGTCATGTTGGGAACAGAGGATAAGAAAGGAAGTGGAAAGCTGTGCGATCGATTGGCAACCTGTTCTTAAAGTAGTAATTTGTCACAGTCAAAGAATTGCCAAAATTCACTTGTGATTAGGAGAGATTGTAGTGTTTCAATTTCAGTCATTACCCACCCTGACTATTTTTCTCATTTATTTCTCTTCAAAGATGTCAAGTTTTTAGATTATTTTGCCAGAAACTTGTTTTTGTATGTGAGGAATAAGATTTAATTTACCAGGTCTCAATTAATAAGAAATGCACACAGTCTTTTCTGCTGTGCCTTTTAATTGGGTGGGTATTTTCTTTACATCACCTTTAGGTTACAATTTTGTATCACTGTTAAAGTGTGCCGTAAAATACGTACTTAGTTGGATAGTGCTGTAGTCATCTGTCATACATGTTTTGAAAACATTTTTCTAAAACATTCTTACAAAACCACACATACATAACAGACTTGGCATGGAGCTCTGCTAATTTTAAGACCTGTATTTTTTCTGAAACATTTTTGTTGATTAGTCACAAAAATCATAATCCAGTTTAGTTAAAAATGAATTCTGAAAAAGTGACTAATATAATCTAATTAAATGTAATTTACCACTCAAAGTGCTATTCTGTTGGCAAGGAGGGTTGTACTATATTAACAGCAATAGTGCCAACAACTGTGACTGCAGTTATTAATTAATAATATTTGTTATTATTATTAATAACAATTTATTCCTAATTTTCTTTGTTTTACACTTACAACGATAGAGGATACCTTCTGTCTCAAGCAGTTGCTGATTGAGCAGATTGGATAAAGACACAAACAACCATAAAAATATCCATGCTGCCTGATTTAAGAAAACAAATCTAAGTGTGGCAATCAAAAAAGTTGATGTCAGAAAAAGAGTTGTGTTAAAATCAAATAATAACGAGAGCCAGATTAGGTGGAGCTTATTTTTAGTCTTTCCCCTAAAGCAGAAGCCTATTCTTTTATTACTAAAATTAGTTAAAAATACAAACAAATTTCCATTAAAAAGATAAATAAACAAAAATAAAACGGAGAGATCCTCTGTCATTGTAGAAACAGTGTCTCACTAGCATAAACATGCTGGTTGCTGTAGTTTCTGCCCTCATCCTGTTTTTAGAACATCAGAACTACAACAAAAAGTGTTGAAACTATTTCATGAATAGATTGGTGTCATCAATTTGAAATATCACATTCCATAAAAATTGTCCTAAAACTTGCTAGGTACTGTCTGCATATATCAAAGTAATAGGAGTATTCTGCTGCCCATGCGAGAGAGAGATAACTGCATTATTTGAAGGTACAATGAAATCAGCTGTCAAGTCGAGATGAAATATGGCAGTGTAGATTATAACTGCTTTCTGCCTTTTTCACAAGATTCTGATAAAAAAGGATGACACAATGAATGAGTTTTGTGAAATTATTGCCAAATGTCAAAGGTGCTAATATTTTTGAAAAGCTTCTTTTCCAACTGAGGTAATTAATGTGTTACTACCTTTGATCTTTCGAAGAGCTGGAAGCAGAATCACTTGGCATTCCTCTTTAATCCTAACATCTAAAGAGGAGAAAACACAAAAAGGTGCATTTGTTGATTCTAATTAGACCTCACTTAAAATTCAAATTGTTAGCCAACCTGCTTTGGACTTGATCCATCTTGAAACTAAGATGTTTTCTTTCCTTTGTTTCAGAGGCAGTAACATTTTTAATCATGTTCATTGTGACGATGATATTGATTAAAGACAAACTGGATCATTTTTTTGAGTAGTTTCAATATTTGGTAACAATCATTATTACTGTATGTGGAATGAGTCACATTAGGATTAGTTTTGCTACCATATCCCATTAATTTGTATTTCAGTGCTCTAAAAGGATAATTGACTGAAACACACACCCAGTTGTTTCCCTCAGGTGTATGTAAGTGTGGTCAGGAAATGAATGTGAGATCTTTGCAGAGCTCATAAGTAATAACTCTTTCAGAGATTTAATATTGCCTTAGGAGACTGAGTGACAGCCTGACACTTGACCAATATTATGTCATGTTCCATGCATATTCATGAACCACTCTCTGCCCTGCATGCAAATGTTACTAGAGCAGGTGGTGGGCTTTCGTAATCTGTAAAAAAAAAAAACCCTACACATTCATGAACATTGAAGCTTGATAATTGAAATAAAATCAATAAAAATAACAGCATTTGTTTTTGGATTGGAGAGAATGATGGTGTTTATTATTCATTATCAACACAGATGCGAATGAATCCAGTTTTCCTACACTGAGCAGAGGCAAAAGGAGATCAGCCACCTTCACACCTCAGTCTAAGCTTTGCCAGAAAGTCAAACAGCAGATGTTCAGTCTTAGTCGGTGTGTGTGCGCATGTGTATCTGTGCATGAAAGACGGTGCACTTATCTGCTGAATTTAAATGTTTGCTAAGTTCACTTTGAAGATTTGAATGTAGGTTGTTATACAGATTATCTTTACCTTCACCAGTATATTTTATATTCCTGCTGGGATTCTAAAAATAGCACATTTGTTGAGTCTGCCACTGAAATAACGTAGAACTTGATTTAATGAGTTATTCAACAGTTGGCCTGGCCTTTTAAACGTCTTTGCCTATCTCCCTGGCTCCTCTTTCTCAACAGATCCAGTCACCCAGCTAACACAACAGGTTTCCCTAAGTCTGTTGTACAGCTGGGCGGACCTGTTGATGTTCTGCCTTGGCGCCACAGCACACCTGATACAGGGTGCACAGTTGTTTTTCCGGGAGGCATGTTTGTTCTTCGACCTCTCCTCAAGTGAAAACAGTTCTCGTTTGTAAGGGGAAGAATTTGAGCCTTAGGAGGTGGTGTCATTGGACCGTGGCTCATTTCCCTTGTGGTGTCCTCACCCAAGAGAGACTCTGTCCATCATACTCATGCTGCCGTAATCAAAGTCAGTGACGTAGGATACCAACTGTCACTGCTGGAGCAAATCCCAGAAATTGGCCATCATCTACCGGCCATATGCCTTGCAAGCTCTGTGACTGCATGACACCAGTATTTAAAAATACCTTTCTGTTAGTGTGTAGGAGGAGGAAAGATAGTGCTTCCCACCGCCACGGCAATTTTAGCTTGTGAAATCCCATTCATCTTTGGCAAGATATTGAATAATAAGCTAAGTCACAGTAACCACATGATGTATGTGATTGAATTGCCATATTGTTTTTTTTTTTTGCTTATTTTTTACATAAGTCCTACAACAGCTGAAAGTAAATGTTTTGTAGGTTTTTATTTATATCTATTTTTTTTTTCAATGGGTATGAAAAAGAACTAATATTTTTACATCTAAAATAGACATTTTTCCATATCTATTGAAATGAAGAGAATATATATATATATATATATATATATATATATATATATATATATATATATATATATATATATATATATATATATGAATTGAATTATCTTTCCACCTCAAAAAAAAAGGAATTGTTAAACTAAAAGGCCAAATTATCATGATATCCATACCCATGATAAGTGCATGTAAATTACTGACCAGAATCATTGATAAATTATCTGTAATTAGCAGTTTATTACAAGAATAATAGAACATTTTTGTTATCTTGTGCATTTTTATTCGTCAACCAGTGGTGCAGCTCTCATATGCCATGCATCCCACTGCTGCAAATATTCATTTTTTTCTTCACATTTACACCTTCAGAACACATGTCTTTAGTATGCCAGACTACATGGCAAGATAGGAAACAGTGTTGCAGCAGCTTGACTACAGAACTCCAGATGTAGGCTTCCATGCATTACTGGTTGGATGTCCTTCTTATTGCATGTGTCCCTTGGTTCACTGATTTAACATACTGGAACCAGAGTGCATGTGACGTAGGTATCTTTAGGGGGATTCTTAATCATTATAAATCACATAGTACGTATTTATAGCCTGATGCCGCATAGCATGCAATTTAGAGGCTGTAAAGTCAAATTCTATTTTAAAAATTAATGGAAATCATACAGCCAACTTCAAAACCTTTTGCATAAGCAGTAAATCCCCTCATAATTATTATTATAATACTGGAATCTGTTTGTTCCTTCTTCTGCTGCACCCTATTGTTTTAGGAGGTGGAAATGAAAGCCTTGCGCGGTCCGCTGTCCACACCAAGACAAGGGAATTAACTCTCTGAGTACCTCTTATCTCGCTGCCTCCATACTCCACCCCTTGCACTCTCATTCTTTTCCAGTAATGAGTATCTACTCAATTTAGTTCCCTTTCTCTCCAAAAGGGAATAAATCCAGCATAGTCCTTTGGATGAAAGAACCTGCAGGTCCCTGGCCTCTCGCTCTGTGACCTTAATTGACAGGAAATTGTATTTGTCGCTCTCCCTCGACGTCAAAACAGGTGTCCAGCAGGATTTGTTCTCCATGCTCAGTACAATAACCTTTGTCTTGTGTGTGTCTCCTTTTTTCCTTTCAGCTTCTCCTAAGGGTCCTAAACTCTTCATGACCCCCACTAGGGCAAAGGTTGGGGACACAGTGCGCATCTCTGTACAAGGATTCCAGGTAGGTTTCCAGGGGTTTTACAGAAATGGACGGATTTAGTGTAGGCAAGTGTTTTTGCACGTTCACAGAAAGGTTTATTGAGATTTCAGATTTGGGAGTCAAAAATCTGAGCATAGACATGATTTTTCATTCTGATGTTTATGTATGCTCATAAAATATTCACTTTTACAAAATTGGGTTTCAAATTTTAATTTTATCATTTCAGTATTCTTGATTATGAAGACAAACATTGTATTTATATCAAACTGTTTGCATCATCTCTGAAGCCAAACAGAAGTGCCTTAAATCTTTCTGAGCCCCTCAGACGGTGAGACGTGTAATAAATGACAAGCAGTCTGAAAGACTTGGATGGAAAAAAAGGGTTTCAGTTATTCTCTTCCATTTTAATAGTCTAATGGGCTTGGTACACAAGAGGCGACGTCGCTCCCTCTCCATTCATTCTCTTTGGAACATGCGCTATGGGGCGACGGTCACTCGCCCTTCTCCAGCCAAGCAAATGCTGAAATTTGCACACACGTAAAAGCGATGATACACAAAAAAGTGGAAAAGTGTTCAATTTTTATCGCCGTCGCTGATGTCGTGTCTTGTGTATTGGGTTAACCAAGAATGACGGAAAACAGTTGCTTTCACTATCATTCATCGCTCGCCAGACCCACCGGCCAGTGGATTCGCCGTGAAGAGCAACACTTTCGAGAACCGTGTGTTCAAGAATGTTTGAGATTCCATAGCTACGTGTACTGCTTGCTACATTTCCACAGAGAATGGCCGGTGATGCTGCATGTCCTTTCGACAGCCTGATTTGGTGCAGCACGCTACATCAGCTTGGTGTTGCATAAAACACTGATGTGAAGTTGTCGTCATCTCTTTGAGTTTATTGTTGGTTTGGTGTGCATTGCCTCCAGTTTGGGTCAGAATGGCAATATTGTTCAAATATGCTTAAAATGATGATTAAAAAAATTATATCACGTTCCACTAAGATTATGTTTACATACACTTCAATTGTATTTTAAGTTACTATTTTATTTTCAGATATGTTGCTGCTCTATAACGTTAATGTATATACTGTTTATATAATGCGTATAATGGCTGTTCATATGGGCAGGAAGAAGAAAAAAAAGATATGCCAATGAAATATATGCTGTGTGTTACCAATTTAAAATTGAAGTATTTGAAGCAGGATTCAACATTTAATTGAATTGTGAGGTTCTCAACAATACCCAGCTCTAATTCCTATTATGTGTGAATAAAAAAATAAAAATTGTGAACCTCATTTTTTTTTTTTTTTGCCATAAACCAAATACTGACATGTCATTAAATTACTTTATTCACTGTGTTTCGTGATTTGCTCTCTATAAAACCTTATGTAATAAACCTAATCTAAAGAGGAAAACAACCTAATATGAGTGACTGTGACCTGTTTAATGCGTTTAAGGATCACAAACAAAGCACCAATGCAAGTCTCCATGATATGTTTGTTACTGCTGCATAATCCTAAATTGACTTTGTCCCTCTATCATAGCCTGCTAAATAGAGCTATGCCCCTGGTGAGACTAGCCTGGGGATAGTGATGGTCTGTTTGACAGTAATGTCACACCAAAACCAGGCACCCAAACCCAGTCAGGTGAAGAAAATAGGACTAATCCTTAAATAGAACACACCAATGACCCAGAGCACAAATCTCCTTCCCAGACACTGCTCAGCAATCACAAGTCAGATGTCATGTTTGATTTATATTCTTTATTTTATGAGAACAAATTAATATTCTATATTGTTGTTGGTTTAGAGCACTGAGCTATTGGCTGCACATGTTTATACATGTGTTTGTGTTTGCTCAGTGACCTTGGGATTCTTTTAAAGCGTCTCTTTGAGCAGAGTTAAGATTGGTTATAACAAACAGGCTCGGCCATGAAACGAAGCCAGTCAGGACCTTCAGCAGCCTGGCATTAACGGATGCAGACTGATCAAGAAGAAAATTTCCCTTATCCTTCACTGGACGTGGGTTTTAGAATTTCACAAGTAGATAGAGCTACGTGCAAAGACTGATAAGTTTGGCTTCTGCCTTTCAGATAACACAAAAGGCTCCCTTACCAGCTTCTTGGTGATGAACCTTGTAAGCTATTTTTCTTCATTTTTGAAAATAAAATAAAATAAAATGGTTAACTTAATATGTCTGAAATTCTGTAATCCCTGGAATAGGCCAGCAGGTTGTGACAATGTTAACATTAACTCAAAATTCAAAAGAGGAAGAGTCAGAGCATTGCCAAGTAGATAGCAGGGGTTAGGGTTAACCCATACAACCTGTTAGTATGGATGGGTGAATTAAGTTTCTTTGTAGACTTGTGCAGAAGTTTATTCGAAATGTTATATACAATAAAGATGTGATGATTTATATTTTTGATGTACGCTAATGATGAACACACCAACACAGAATCCACAAATACCTTATGTAAATATATGCTGTGCTGTTGTATTGTGACAGAAAGGTAAATACGCTGATTGTCGATTTAAATATCTCTGCAGTAAGGCTCAATTTAAAAAAAAAAAACTGCTCCTGCTAACTTTGTAAAATGGTCAACTGTAGCACAAAGAGGATCTGCGTCAAGCTGTTGTAAAGTTAAGTGTTGATTATTAATGCATGTTGTTAACTTGCCATGGCATTAGGGGGAAATTGGAACCTGTATAATTCATGTGCGCTTTGCCTTTAATCGCTCGGATGAGACCCACAGTCTCTGTCTGAGCTGCCTTGAACTTTCATTGTCTTCTTTCTTCTCTTTTCCCCTCTTTTCTGTCTCAATCCCCCAATGGGTGTTGGTAGAATGAAGTATTTCCTGAGCCACTCTTCACCTGGACACGGGTGGGAGGCCGCCTACTGGATGGCAGTGCCGAGCGTGAGGGGAGAGAGCTGATTCTGGAGAGAGTGCCGGCAGAGCTCAATGGCTCCATGTATCGCTGCACAGCCCAGAATCCTTTGGGTTCTACAGACACACACACTCGTCTCATAGTTTTTGGTAAGTAAATTTATGTCTGCAACACAATTCAGTCGTAGTTTGAAGGATTTGCCGCACTAGCACTTAAATTGTAATTGCAATTCCATTCCTTTTTTTTTTTTTTTTTTTTAGCTATTTGACATAATAAAGTATAAACATTTATTTGATTTGCATCCACAAGAATGATCTACAATTGTACAATTATACAGTTAAATTAAACATAAGTTTATAATTCTCCTATTTCATTTTGTTTTATGTGCAGTAATTTTGATAAATACTTAATTAATTTGAAATCCATGTGACCACATTAAGATATAAATCATTGATGCGACTAAGTGTGTGATTAATAAGAGATTGTCTTTTAAATTGGATCAAACATACAGACATGTTCTTTGGAGCACTTATTTAAAATAGCTATTCTCCAAAGGATTTTCTAACTGTCACTAATGACATGCCTAGATCTGTACTTTATCCAATGCCAGAAAACACCCTTGGCATCAAATGCTTGCGACGAAATTCAAAGAACATTTGTTGCTGATAGTGGTGCAAAAACACTTTCTTCAACGCGAGGGCTAAGTTTGTGTATTGCTCTTAATTTCGATGTATTTGACGTGCCTGTGCTAACATGGGAGCTCTTTGTTCTTGGGTAATGTTTGCTCTGGGTACTCTTGGAGAGCAGGCTTTGCTATTTTGTGCCCTTTCCCACACAGAATTTCAATCAGATATGTTCTGCCATTACTTGCTGTCACGCCGGTGTTACTTTGACACATTGGTGTTATGTTGAAACATGACACACTTCTCCTTAAAAGTCACCCGATTAGTCACGATCACCTTGATTGCGGTTGATTTAAATTGCTGCACTGCAATATAAAAACCAGAGCTGAGTGTTAAGGCAGAGGATATTTTGCATTAGCCAGCAATTTTTAAAATATTTTTATAGCCATTTTGAATGTGAAGGACCTTCCGTCTTCACTCTTGGCTTCATAGACAAAATATTGTAAAGTCCATCATCAGTTTATTAATAAAGCTTTGCATTTTCTCCTTGAGCTATTACTGTATGTAGCATTGATATATTTCAACACTCCCACGGTATCAGCTGCTCTTGTATTTCTGATGCAACTGCAGTTCAGTTACAGCACTGTCGCTTTGAAAGCTGTCGCATGATAGAGGACTTTGAAAGCTCAAATGAATGAAGATGTCAAGGTTTACACATCAACTAGGTAAATATGTATCTTATGGTTTCACAGTTGTTTTGTTATGCTCAATGAAACTATGTAATAAAAAAGTAAAAAAAATAAAAAAAAATAAATATATATATAAATAAAACCTCATTAAATGTATGGATTCACAATTACGAATGTCAG